GTCCTGAAGACTAATGCTGTGCTGAAAGTACCTATTTCTTTAACCAAATATTTTTCAAATAAAAAACACAGGTATTCTTCTCAAAGCACTTTCACCAGTGAATGTGTGAAGGTGAAAATTAAAGCGTGTTAAACAACTTTGGGCAATAAATCAGGAATGAGGGACAGCATGAGGCATAACCATGACACAATGACAGCGAGTCAGATTCTTTGGGATATTTTCTATTGAATTACATAAAAAAGGATTGTTTAAAAAAAAGAGTAAAGCAATCTATTTATTCTCAATTCCTGTCCTCAAATGTGCTAAATAATTCAGTGTCTGACTTCCCTTACTGGACAGGGACAAGACTCATGCATCCCCATGTGAGAGGGCATCTTGGCAAAGCCTTGAAAACTGGCTCATTTGGATTGAAAAATTATCCCACCATGTCGGGCTCTCTAATGATTATCACATCACATAAACACACTTTATGGAGTTCTTTTAAACAATTGCTGGAAAACCACCTAGGAAGCACCCAAGCTCTCGTGGTGAACCTGTCGCTGCCCAGGTGGGTTTCACATCTGGCTTTGGGCTTTTGCTGGTGCTCCTGTGGGTGGCTTTGGCCACGGATCAGCCTTGGAGAACAGACCCTAGCATACTGAACAATATGACTCTAATAAATACAGAAAATATACTGTTTTTCTCTCCAGAGGGGCCCACGTTAGTCTTCAAATTCATTTCCCTTGTCTTCCCAGTATAAGCTCATTGCTACAGCTAAAATCTGATAGTATTTTTAGATCAAACTTCATATTTTAAAACAAGGAGTGTTACAGCCCAGTTCTTTAATAAACCCCACCGATATGGATCCTCCAGTCCCTTGTAGCATTTGGAGAAATGCGCGCTCACAGATCCTATTTCAAGGCAGGGACGCAAAGGCTAATCTCTCACTCTCCTGTTCTTTTTCCTAGTTGCACAGGGAGAAAAATGTGAGAAAACATGTCATTCCAGAGTGCTGTGGCAGCATTAAACTACAGCTTCTCACCCCATATATTGCCTTTTTAAACCACAGTCTTGCCGAGAGTGTTAAGGTGAGCGGTAAATGACTTAATGGCAGCTTAATATTCTGCACATACGCATAACAGACATTTTAGTTGCTTTTAATTGATGTAGCTGCTAGCTTTGTTAAACTCTCCAGGAGAGTAGTTCTCACTGGGAATGAGCCTCCTAGAAAGTATCAGTTTGCAAAAACACAATAGTTTGAGCGATAATTGTGCAGAAAAAGGCTTCTGGATTTCTTTGCAGTTGAATAAGAGCGTTTTGTTTCACTTTTGTATAACTCAACATCGGGTGCCTAAATTATAGTCAAACTTTCCAAACAGCTACATAAAGAAACACATGGGGTAAGTCACATTTAAGATAAAATGGGGACTCTAAGATTTTAACTAAACAGAACATTTTTATGGCTGTGAGCACATAAAAAGAAAATTATGTAGGAAAAGTCCTGCTGTTACTTAAACAGTAGCTTTCAGCACTCATAAAATACATGGTGTTAATTTATTTTCCACTTATAAATCAGCTGGCTCTGCTCTGTACATTAGCACAAGCTTTAACTGGTTTCTGGCTCCTTAGTGGCCTTCACATAATTCCATTTAACCCTGAATGAAATGCTGCTGGCATGGCACTGAGCCTCAACCATCACAACTAAAAATATATATAACCCCAGTAAGAGCACACAGAAAATGATTGCAATCAGCAAAGAAAATTAGAGGGCAATTAAAAAAAAGAAAAATCTGTGTTATTCCATTGGGCCGACTGGCAACCGCATCTTCTGTTTGGAGGTGGGGGGGCATAAAAAAAAAAGATAATCTCCTCGAAAATTAACTTTTAGGGTTTTTTTAAGCTTGTAAAAATAGTAGAGGATCTGAAGGTGCGTCTCAGCAGGTTTTGCCTGCCTGTCTAGCACTGAGACTTTTTGTGTGATCAAAGAATACATGACAGCGAACGGATCTATGCTTGTAAATATCAAACGGTTTGATCACACTAAAAGACTTTATTGAAGTTTCCCACTTTTTAATCAAACAAGAACCATCCACCTCCAGTAGCCATAAAAAAAAAAAGAAAAAGTCTGCTATGATATTAGAATTAAAGAAAAGTACTAAACGGGACTTGTAGAGAAGGGGTTTGCTTACCATAATGTGGGACTCCCATTAATGTCATGTTTGTAGGCTGGCAGAAAACTGCAACCCTTATTATTTTACCACGGAACAGTAGAAGAAGGATTTGATTACATCAATATTAAGTTTGCAATGACCCACAAGAAATAAGCCATGTTCATGTACACAGCCTTTTAAAAGAAAATTAAAAGCATAATAATGAAATTAATATATTGCTGACTTGGTTTGCTGCTTTTTTTTCTCTCCTGCTTTATGGTGAAATCCACAGTATCAAAATCTACAACTGGCCTGTGGAGAGGTTTTCTGTACTATTTCTGTCACCTAATATGACAATTTGCACCACCCCCCAACAAAAAAAAAAAGTTAGAAATGCCATTCTGAATGAACACATGGAGCTCTGAATAAAAGGAGCCAATAATTTACAGTAGGATGATAAAAGTGTAATATTGCTTTAATAATACGTATTAATGAAAATTGCCATTGTAAGATAGATAAGACCTAATAATATAAGTGTCATTGTATTTTGTGAGTTGGAGGCTTTAGTAAGTTATATGTTGGTGCTGTGTGGCTGGCGTGAAGCCTGACACAATTTCTAAGACTCGCCATTTCCAGTGCCACCAGTGCCTGAACTTATTTTCCCTGGAAAAGCCCAAGCAGGCACTTCCCTGCTCGGTCAGGTACTACTGTGCTCCTCTGCCATCTCCTGCCTGCTGCAGAGTTAATGAAAACATGTTTTCATTATTTTAAATGCAATTTAATACATTTATTTTCATCCCATTTTAAACATTGGGCGAACTAGATTTTAAAGAAGTCCCTGTGGCTTTTTTTAGTCTTTACTCTTTAATGTACTGACATTTTTAAAATGGGCAATGGGGTGATATGGGGAATGGCAGATTAATTTCTTGCCCTTATTTTATATCAGTGTAGCTCAGCATCGCTCTGTAGTGTTCCTGCTGCTTTTGCAAGCATCCTATATTTGCAACGATAAGGACTTGCACTCCTTATTAAATGGAAGCTTGTTTATCTGTGCTAATTGCCAGGAAGAAAAATAAACTATTTTCCCCTCTATGGACCACTATTTATAGTCAGGAAGAGCAGCCCTGCACATATGCAGGGGGATATTTGTGTGAAGGAGGTTAACGTGCAGCAATCTTGTCTGCCAGGAGGGAGGAAATTATTTTCCTGATGTAAGAAGGCTGGGTGAGAACACAGTGCGGGTTTAAAACCCAAAATGTGTTTCAAGGATGGGGGAGAAAGCTTTTGAGCATATCCATAAAAAAAAAAGAAACAAAAACAAAAACAAAAACGAGATTTTTAACAGCATGGGCTTTGTTACTTTCACGTCAATATTTTGCCTGTGCCTTTGGAAAATATTTTTATGGTGTTCCTGAAGATGCACAAAACTACAATTTGCTCTCAAAAAGGTTTAGAGGCTGCTATAAGAGGACTCAAGAAGGAAAGGGGATTTATCCCAGTCTCCTCTTCTCTGAAAAAAGCACTCTGGAAAGGGAAGATTTTTCCACCCTATCCCACAAACTCTTCTGGGTTTTGTTTCTGAAACACCCAGAAAGTTTTTCTGTGCAAAACCCACTCCAGAAATCCTGCCGTCCATTTTGGAGGAAGTGTGTTGTTTTCAAAATAATTTGCTACTCACTGTGTCTGTTCTGGCACGACCAAGAGTAACTCCATGATGGCAGAGACAACAAATAGGAAATATTTGTAATAAATGAAATTTCTTCCAGAAAGTTTATTTTTTGGAGTTTATTTGTCCAAGAAGATTATAGAGAGAACTTTGTGTCTTTGCAGATGGAGTTCTCTGTGATCCAGTCTATGTGTTTTCAATAAGTATCACAAATACCCTGGTGTTTAAAAGTATACAAACTTATTTCTATGAACTTTTTTTCCACCCTCTAGTACTTTTCATGGGCCTTGATTCTTACTTCCTAAATAATGCTTACAGCCTTTAAATCTCAAACCCACAAACCAATATTTACAAGCATTGATTTGGAGATTGATATTTTCATGCATATTCTAACACTGAAGGCAGCACGCTAAGGAGAGATAAACCAACTTCATTTGTAATCTTATAATACTTAGTGCCTCAAGTTATGTGCTTTTTACATTTAGAAATGAAAATAAAGCTAAAAAATGTCCCAAAACACTGACAATGAGGGAAAGAAACAGACAAATGGAGGATGATTTTAAATAAGCTATAATTCATTTTTGAAAGCACTGTCTTACTTCTTCAGGACTGAAAAGAGGCCCTACTTATGTGGAATTACATATTTTACACAAAAAAGAAAACATGAAATGATTTGAAAATACGTTTTCCCCAGGGGGTGATGGTGGTGGGCTGGCTAGCCCTTCTACGGACAGCTCCTGTCTGATGGCAACGAAGAGTTCACCTAAAAATGAAGCACATTTCTAAACCTGCCCTCTCATGGCTCCCATTTCAGCTTAGTGGCTGCAATTAGCAATTAAACGGGAGAAACAAATGCCTGCATTTTGTTGCAAAAGGGTTAGTTTCATTTCTGACCTGGAAATGACAGCGCAGACACACAAGGAGCAAAAAGTCATGTAACACCAGGAGGAAAACACACCACGTTAGCTGGGATGCTCAAATCATGCTGCATTAATATGCACAAAAGAATTAAAAGAATTAAAAGCATTCAAGAAAAGGGGATGTTTGTTTGTTTTGGTTCTATTTTGTTTTTTTTTTAAGCCATGCAGTGTCATTGCTTATTCAACAGCAGCCCACTTCTCCTGCAAAGCATTACGCTGGGTTTGAAAAAAACACCCAACCCCACACGGCTGTAGAGAGAGCACATGTTACATCAGACACAGTACCTGATTTTTCACTGCACAGCTTGTCAGCTAGATAGTCTGCCTCTTGGGCGATAAGTGAGAATATTTCATCTTCATACTCCTCTACGATACTTTCCCACTGTAAGGAT